TATATATTATACAGTATATAAATGACAGAAAAGTTGTTGAGGAGCCAAACCAAAAGGGAGAACATCTTTTAACTACGGAGCGGTTTGTTCCGCAAGGCTTCGACTTCCTTTATTTCACAGCTGAACTTCAAACACAAACAAAGTCCAGTTGGCACATTAAACACTGCAGATTAACCCTCTAATGGAGTTTTAGTTTGTCAGCTGGCTTTTCCTCGTCCCTACATCACCAGCTGACAGACCCGGGCATGCACTCTCAAAAACGCTTCACTTTAAAATGGCTTTTTCAAGCTTCAGCCAAAATGACAGAATTTAGATTTAATATTYTATTTACAAGCAGTGTAATAATGTTGTTGCAGTGCATCGGCCCCTCATATTCAAATGAGAAATAGGCAACAGTGAGACATAACTTCAAATTGGTTGTCCAACCGCATACTGGTGCCAGTAATTGGTTTAGGAAATTGGGCCAGCAAAGTGATCACTGATAGAGCCCATTCCTGGTCGGCGAACAAACGTCCCTTTGGAGCTGAAAGTATTACTTAATCAATCAACGTGTCGACCGAGAGAAAAAGAAATCTTAAATATTTAAGGCAAACTGAATAATCTGCTTCCAATACTTCAGGAAATGGAGCAGGTTGATTTTCTTTGTCTTTAGTGACAGATACCTTAAAACTTTTGCTGTTTTATAGAGATAACCCTTCAAAAACAGGCCTTCCATTCTTCAAAAGGAATGCATATAACCCGCCACAGTTCAAAATCAAGACTACCTTATAAAAAAGCCTTAAAAAGAAAAACGTTACAGTCATATTATGAAATAGTGAGAGAGGTCATGCTCAGGGTATGTGTTGTGAACTACCACGTTAAATTTTAGCTCAATATCTGTAATAATGACTGAGTTATAACCATTTTTGTGTTCTTGAAAATGAGTTGGCTGTGGCGGCCATCTTGAAATGGGTTGGTTCTAAAAGTTTTTGAATTGTAGATTGTAGAAACAATAAAATCATGGACTCTTCCTTTGTTGGGAAGTCAGTTGGTGACTGTGTTAATCAGTGCCATTTAATTAAGGGAAAATTGTGATTTTGTGACTGTTGGTTTTCTTTCATTTCCACAAAACTTTGTGCACATTACTTTGAAATTTGACTGCAGTGTTGTAAATATAGGTTTTTTATTTTATGGGTTGTGTTTTGTATGTTTAATTGTTACTTTTTGTGGTCACTTAAATTGTTTCCAAATACATGGTACTGCAACTAAGCTTCCTTTTGTGGTGTTTTTATTGATTACTGACATCAGCTCCTGTAGTCATTTCCTAATCTTCTGAGTTTATATAATATCTAACTTTTTAGTACCACAATTAGTGTTACATAGACGTGTCTCCAGTAACTCCTTTCAGAAAATTTCAACAAAATATATCCGGTGGTTCATGAGATATTTTACTAATATGACAAAGAACTACAAGATCTTCCATATTTAATGGTAGTGGCCATCTTTTGGAGTCTTGCATAACAAACTCAGGATTTTAAAACAAATTAAGCAAAAATCTAAAATAATTTTATAAACAAAAAAAATTGCAATTTATCGCGTATTGTAAATTTTAGTTAATTTAACGTGGATATAGAATCTTGTTTGTTTGTTTGTTTGTTTGTTTTAAATACTTAAAGACTTTAAATATTTAAAAAAAACATTTTATTGCAGTTATTAGGTTTTATTCTGATTTTTTTAATCAAGGTTTGTGTTGGTGGTGATTTTTACCATATTAATGGGTAGGAACAGCAAAATCCTGTAAGCAACAGATCAGTCACATTACTCATCCTTTGTTCAAATAAATAAATAAATAAATAAATAAATGTCAGATCATACATTTCAAAAGTAGTTTCACAGTTATTCCATTCAGATCAGTCAAAAAAGAAGCTATTTTTAATTGAACAACCCAAGTAAATTCTGGCGACATCATACTAGAATGATTGCGATCGTACCAAGAGAGCATCTTTTCTGCACGCCTCCTGAAACGAAGCTCTTCCTGCAGCGCTCAGTCATTTCTGCAGCTCCCCAACAAACATCCCCGAGCGCCCAGCARAGCTCCCCAATCAAAGCAAAACAAACAGACCATTTTGACTCCACAAACTTGACCCGCGAACAGCATGACAGGGCTAAAAGCCCCACATCTCCAGCTGTCTCCTGGGGTCTATTTGTGTCTGTGTGAGGGCGTGCGCGTGCGTTAAAGAGCTCTTTCACGCCAGAAGGAGAAATTCGCGCCCGTGTTTGTTTATGTATGCATAATATGCTGGAATGGTAGCGTGATGGAGGAATAAAAATTCCTTAAAATGCACGCGAGCCCTGGACGGTGGATGCTTCGGGGTGGGGTGCAGACGGAGTCGGGGTGAGGCTGCAGGCACGGTTAGGTCACCGGTGCGGTCGGCGGGTGAAACTCAGTTCATATTACCATGCAGACAGCCAGGCTAACAAAGGAAGCTCCATCTGTTCCTGTCAGCCATTACAAATCTGGTGTCACCCAGTCCTCTGAAGACAACAGGCCACCGCATCTAATCAAACGGCGCAGGCTCCTCCTGCGTGTAAAAGCAGCCATCGACTTCACACTCACTCACTCACTGGTTAGAGAACGCAGTGCAGTGAAGGCAGGCGGTCGATTACCACGGCTCATACATCCTCCGAGTCACAAAGTCTCCTTTGTGTACAGTACGCTCACCGAAAAAAAAAGAAAAGATACTATTAAACACCGAAGTGATTCAATTCTCCGTTCATTCCTCTCAATCACAAAATCCATTTTTAGATCATTTCTAATAATTTTTGCCATAAAAAGAATTTTAGAATATTAAATCACTCCTAAATTTCCATCGGGGATAAATGCTTCTCTGAAAAAAATTTTTAAAATGTGTCTCTGAGAACTCATGCTGATATTTTTCCACTAACACCCCCTCTTCCTTTAACACGGACCGCCCAGCAGAAATGTGTGAGCAGGTTCTTTCAACTGGCTGTGAACACAGGATGAACTATGAACTCAACATGCCCTCTTAGTCGGGACGCAGACCGGTTTCCTGAGCCAACATGGCTGCAACTCCAGAGCAATAACAGACTTTGCTGCGAGGGCTTTTTCTTTCCAAGTCAAAAGATTTGATTATTGATCCCACAGTAGCAGTTAGGTGTAGTTAGTGACTGTAAAAAAAAAAAAAGCATCGGTCTTTGATTTTCAAGGAGAAAAAAAAGTTTAGAATAAATAGTCATTTCTCACATTTAAGGGAGGCAATAAAAAAGCCATACGTGTGAGCTTTAACAGCAACAAACAGGGCCATTTGTAGTTACGAGTGTTATCAGTGTAGCCTTAAGGGAAAATTTATGGTTCGATTTGTATGCTTCCCAAAGGAAATCTCTTCTTATTTACTTTCAAATATATTAAAAAAAAAACAAATAATTGTTGTGCCTAATTGCGGTCTATTTTCACACCATCTGCTATGATTTATCTTTTTGTTTTTTAGAACTTGCGGAGACGAGCAGCCGTTTCTCTTCCGAGCGCAGGGAAGTTCATTAAACCGTTTCCAAATAAAAGATCGAGTTTGACTCCATCCAGCTGGCATTAACCATCTTGAAATGACTGGAAATGTTCCTCGTTTTAGTGGTGAGAAATTCCGTGTGCATCCTGCTTTATCTCATGAGATTTAAAAAAAATAAATAAAATCAAAACAGTAGAGATGGGCACCTGAGGCTGCAGAGTCTGTAATACCCACCTGCGGCTTGTCACGTCAAGGGCTATTAGAGTCAAAAATACTAAAAGTCTGAATGGGAGGCAGAGAAAGGAAGATAGAAAGAAAGATTGATAATAGGAGAGAGGGATGGAACGCACATGGCCCCTCAGGTACAGTGTTGTATTTCAAACCCAGTTGTGAAAGAATAGAAGAGCTCTGGGTCAATAAATCACTGCATTAGCCTGCAGCTACAAAGCCTCCTCCCTGTGTGGGCTGCCTCTTCACCTCCCACTACACACACACACACACACACACACACACACACAAACAAACAAACAAACTCTGACTGATGAGGAGCAGGCCGTCAGTCTCACGTCCTCTCAGGGACAGGCATGAAATTCAATGTCAGGAGACATCANCACACACACACACACACACACACACACACACACACACACACACACACACACACACACAACTCAGACCAGAGACCAGAAAACGAGCCTAGGATCTGCCACTGGAGGGAGCTCTAGGTCACCGTTCAGGTTTCTGTGACCCATCAGGATACCTGAGGTGGCCAGAAGGGAGGCGGAGCTGCTGATGTCATCGAGCAGAGAGGAAGGAGGGAGAGAAATATCATAGATGTGGTTTGTTTTTCCAAATTTAAAAAGGTTTGCAGCAATATAACAAAATGACCCACCTGTTCTTCTTGTGGCGAGGCGTAGCTCTGTGAATGTGTTAAAAACTAGTTTTCTCAGAGGACTTTTGGTACCGACTCATTTTCCTTGTTAATAAAGAACTCAGCCTTTCAATAGAAGCATGTGTTAATAAAGATACGACGTGATTTTAATGTTCGCATTTTCTGTTTTTAATTTGTCCTCGCTACAAAGTAATTAGACCATTTTGAGAAAAGACCTCCGCACTGCGCAAAAAGCCTATGATCCCTCTCATGAAGACACACACACACACAAATAAAAATCACACAGCGGGATCCAGAATCAGGATTATTGTGAACTTACACTCAGAGGCTTCATCCTGGTAGTCTGAGGCATCATCTGAAGGAGCAGAACGACCCAAACTGGAGCTGCGGTTGTCATCAGAACCATCTTCTTCCACTGAGCGTGCTTGTTCATGTGTGAAATACAAACAAACAGCAAATGTCAGGAGAGAAAATGTTCCAAAACTTGTCACACAAACAACAACCTCGTTTTAATCACACTGGAACATGAACAACGTATCAAATGTTTGAACTAAGAAATTTAACCTCTCGAGAAAGCTTTTGCTTTGTGCTCCTTTTTGATTTCCCCTAGCTATTTAGGATTAGTAAAATATTATAAATACACATTTTATTTAAAATTTAAAATAAAACCAGTCTAAAATAAATGCCCTCAACAACAGGATGTAGGGTATCGTGAGGTTAGAAAAAAAGATTTAAAAATAATATTAATAATCTGGATTTTATGGCAGCAACACATCTAAAAAAAGTTGGATTAGGATTAACAAAAGGCTGAAAAGAAAGCAAAATGGAGGAGCATTTTGCATCTAATTAGGTTAATTATCACCAAGGCAATAACAAGGTACAAAGCGAGCACTTTAAAGGCTGAATTTCTTATCATGGAAAAAGGAAACCATATGTAAATGCAAACCCAAATTTAAAATTGTTTTTGAAATGCACGGACGCCACCAAACATTTAGCTAGAGAGGCATCATGTTCAGTTTTCCGGCACCTTTTGTCAGCTAGCAAAAAGTCAGGATGCCCTCAGAAACTTCGAGAGAGATTTTGAATTATTCTAAAATTCTACCTAAAAGCCTGGACGCCATATCCTCCGTAGTGGAGAGGAGAGGGACCATCACCTGTTATCAGCACAAAAGCCTGCCTCTCTGATGGTATGGGAGTGCATTAGTGCCTCTGGCATTACACATCTAGAGGAGCACCATCTGATATGTTTTCTGTGTTCCATTTTGAATAAAACACAGGTTTTTGAGATTTGCAAATCATTGCATTCTGTTTTCATTTACTGATGAAAACGTAACTAAGAATGTACTTACATGGTAAAGAAAACTCCTGAGGAAATCTGAAAAATTAAAACATGTTAGTGAAATTAGTGTTTCTTTCTGCTTTTATGATTTTTTTTTAAAAAAAGCTCAGCTAAAGCAGAGGTTCTCAAACTGGGGTCCACGAGCCGTATCTTGGGGGTCCTCAAGAATTTTAAATAAATTGTTAATTAGATTTTTATTTATAAAAAAAATGCATCTGGGTAACTATTTTACTTTTCTTTTGAACATATTTTGGGTATAAAAAGGGGCCGATGTTATGAGATTTATTCTTCTTCTCCTGTCTTTCATTTTATTTGATTTTATTGTGATTGCATACTTTTTGTACTTTGTTAATTTGTGTTACAAATGAAATGAATAAAGTGAAGTGAAATGCACCAGTAAAGCAAACATAGCTACTAAACCAAACAAATTGTAATATTCGCATGGCATTTAGGAGTTAAAATAACAATAAATTATTTTTAAAACAGGGTTTATAAGGGGGTCCTTGGATATTTTTCACCCTTGTAAGGGGGCCCCAGACCCAAAACTTTCAAGAACCCCTGAGCTAAAGCGTCGCTACGAAAATACTGCAATTGTTTCCTGCAATAAAAGCCACAAAACCACAAGTGATCTGTAACACATCCAGTGCAGACAACAAGGATTTCCGGAGTCAACTATCTACGAGTTTCACTTCTTTTTAAGGACTGTTCACAAAGCAAATTGAACTGCATTAAACTGAATATATTTGATTAAAAAAAATTCATGAGATCTTTGAAAAATGTAAACAGTAATAAATAAGAGCAAGAGGGAAGTCTCCCACTTGGTGCCATTAGACTAAACGAGTTCTTTCTAATGCAAATTGCAAACTGTATTTAAAGCAATTACAGCTACAGTTAACAGGATTTTGTAGTATTAACAGCAAATGTTCAATAATGGTGCCATGAAGTCACACTTCAGCAGCGCCTCTGGTGTTACAAGATGTAGAAGCCTACCTTCCTTTAACCACCTCAAAGTTATTCAGTAGGACGTTCCGCGTCTCTTCTGTGCTTTCACTTAGGTTCTCGTCATGAAGGATCTCCGCCACAAAATACTCACAATCTGACAAGTACAAACAAATCGGGAAGAAACAAGTAAACTATGTGTTCTCTGGAGATTTTTATGGATCAAACGCTCCAGGAAAAAATTCCTCATGACACATAAACCCATCAACAAAATGATGTTAGCGGTTAGCAGCTACTCTGTGTTTTGTTTCGAACAGAATACGTAGACACAACAACCCCCAACAAAACTTGTTTCTATGTAAATACTGTATATTAGGGTGTCTTTTTGATGATAAAAGGTTGAGATTTCAGTACCTTTACAGATATTTCAAACTAAAATGGTTAGATTTTTTAAAATATGCCAGCAATGTTGCATTTTTGAGTTATGGTTATTAGGATCTTAAGCCTTCATTTGGCTAGAAATTTACTGCAACATAGTTTTCCCAAAAGCTAAATACCTATTTATGTGATTGGAAGAGACAACTACAACTTGTAAAACACAAAACAAAACATAAATGTGAGAGCCACCTTTATGCCATCTTTATTATAATGAAGACAAAACAGGTTAGTCCAGATCACGTTTCTGATTCTATTTGTATGGGTCCTTCTCCTTTATTATTCAAATTATCTGACATATGCAAATGTTCGTTTAGAGAACTGTCTGGTAGCGTAGCAGAACATTCAAATATGGTAAAGGATAAATAATGAAGCCAGGTTTAAAACTTTATATTATACAGGCTTTTTTATGAAAAACGGACAACAGATTGTTTGCTCGGAAGTCAAAGTGTCTGCATACACGACCCATAAATATTATAATTCATCACTTTTGAATAAGTTTGCTATTTTTCAATGATAGGATTTGAAGATTAAATTGTACTTTTGAATATTAAAAGTGAAGAAAAGAAAAATGTTACCACTCAAGAGCCTCCTGATGTCGATCGGGACTGTCCCCATCCCTGGTTTTCACCTGCTCAATACAAAGTGCTTTAGGTGAATGGTGAGCCTTTTTCTACTCCTTGAAGCTTTGATTATGACCCCAAATCAGAAGTTATGCACATCCAGTCCCTGACAAACTGCTACAGCTCCACAACAAAAACAGCTAAAGCCTATATAGGTACAGTAAGTTACACAATAAGCCTACCACCTGTGTCTTGTTGCACTGAAAACTGACTTCCGCTCTAGATTTGCACATGGGGTGGAGCAGGTGCACAGATGACAACTTCCTCTGCAGACTGGTTCCTGAAGGCTTGACTCGTGACAAGAGAACACCTCTGACTTACTGAATGCTGCAGAACTAATCTGACAGAAAAAGGTTTATGGCTGGTTTTAACTGTTTAGGATTCCTGCAAACTGCTTTAAACATTACAAAAATGTAGGTAAAGATTTCTGGACAATGAAATCCTGCTGCTCAAAAATTTGTGTGAAACATATTACTAATCTTAGCCTTTTAGTTTTACTGTTAGGCCTAACTTTTGTTTTAATAAAATAATTGCTTCTGAAATTACTAAGTGACAGCTTTTTTATTTAAATCCCGCAAAAACAGCTGTTTATTGTTTTATAACTTTTTATAAATAGTTTGCTAATTTACTTTTAAAATATGTAGTTTCATCCCATGATATGTTGTCATGATAATTTATGAACATGTAAGGTTTAAACGAGTAGCAAATAACGTGTCTAATAAATAGTTTAAGTCGCTTCATCGACTGAGGATGCTGAGGACAATCATGCTAGTTAGCTAGCATAAGAGTTAAACCAGATAAAATGGTAGCTTTAATTTCATTACCCTTGTGTTTTAGAACACTATGTGCATTTTTATAAATGCTTATTTATCTCAACATTCAGAAAACGTGACGCTTTGAACATTTATTTCTCTAATTTTCTTACCAATGATAGGATGGTCCGTTGGAGGCTAACACTAGCCTGGTTGGGTGGGAGGCGATTTTCTTCTTCTTCGACGTTGGCGGCCCGCAACCTAGGAGGCCTTCTTTTTTCTTCTTCTTTGCTTTATTAATGTTGACCGTCTTTAGCTAACATTAGCTGAATGGAAGTTCTTGTTTTCAAGGCTTTAGTTAATTTCTTAAAAACCACAGGTTTATTTGTTAGGATTTAGAGTTTGTTTTGTTTTGTTTTGTTTTGTTTTGTTTTGTTTTGTTTTGTTTTGTTTTGTTTTGTTTTGTTTTGTTTTGTTTTGTTTTGGCCTTCTGGCCCACACTCCATTCCAGAAGGTGGCGGTAATGCACCTAAACGTTGTTTGCCAACGGCCATTAAACAACAACAGAAGAAGAAGAAGCTAACATTACTTGTTAGCCTGTGCAATCGAGTAAGGGTTTTCTTTTATTTAAAGTTAGAATAAAAACACAACACATTTATCTTATCATCAAGTGGTCCAAGGCGTTGTTTACATTACGTGCTGCATTCAAGTAAGTGATTGGGTTAAATGTTAAATGTGAGCTAATTTATTTATTTGTTTATACTTTCTAAGATTATATTTATTTGTTTGTTTATTTATTTAGTATTCACTTGTTAGTTCTGTCTTCAAAAACATAAAATCCTATAAATTTTGAAAATGTAAAAGACAGTTCATCGTGAGAAGTTGCTAAATTTGGATTATCAGTTAGGGTTACAGACACAGTTGAACAGATTACATTTTTAATTGTTTGATTAGTGTTATTGCCTTTTTTATATTGTTAAGCAAGTAAAACATTTAATAAGCTGTAAGCTGTTTAATACTTGGTTGATATTTAGTTAAACTTAAATAAGTAATCGCTCATCAACTCGTTTATATTCACATAAACATGTTTGGCTAATTTTAAAATTAAAAAGCAGCAACAAACGTTAAGGGCCGAGCGCAAATCGTGACACCGCCCCTCATACTGGCACTTCCGGTGGCAGGTGTCACAAGTGCCACAAGTGCCACGAACTTCATGGTACTTCCGGTGGCAGGTGTCACAAGTGCCACTGTTTTCTACTGGCACTTCCGGTGGCAGGTGTCACAAGTGCCACTGTTTTCTACTGGCACTTCCGGTGGCAGGTGTCACAAGTAATTGCATTTGAGAATACTAGAAACTGATTGCACCACCTGTTTTTTATTTTTTGTTTGTTTGTGTATTTATTTATTTATTGTGTGTGTGCGTGCGTGCGTGCATGCTGCGCTGAAATGCTTTCAGAGGTGCCAGGTTGGGGGAAGAACTCTACATTTAAGGTCAAGTTTTACAAGATTTTAAAGTGCCATTAAATCGGTTTCAATTTAGTCTAAATGAGGACGTGTACTGCTTTATTAAAATCCAGCAAAATAAAGCTGTCTTGTTTATCAACATAAGAAATAACTATCAGGATGCGCTTTGCATTTTAGCAGGCTGTAAAACAACACATAATTTAACTACTAAATGTAATTTTCTTCAGCACATCCTGCCTAAATGGGTTATAGAAATTCTCACATCTTTCCGCGGATGTTTGATCTGAGCAGAAAAAAAAAACTAACAAGGATGTTTCAGTCGACACATGCTTGAATGCTGCGCCACTAAATTGGTCCCTCAGAACATGTGACAGGCCGTGGATGAATGGTTCAGATTACCAGTAGAGGGTGAACAGTGGTGGATTGAATTGGACTGGTCTTTTACACACACAATTGACCCTTACAGAGGAGGCAGTGGTTGCAGAAGCACAGAAATACTGGTGGCCCTCACTATTGTSTTATTGATCCGGTATTACTGGAACACAGAGAAGAAAAAAAAAGGAATTGAGTAACTAAATCTCTGTTCGACACTGCTGCTGACGTGGCCAGCATATATTAAGCTTTGCTGGACGGATGCCCTTATTAAAATTAATCCAGAAATGAACTTTGGATAAAATTTAAAAATTGCTTGAATGGTTGTGTTAATGCTTTGGGAGACAAAATCACCTGTATACAGTTTTAAGGATGATTTATTTTCTAAAATTTTTATGGGGACAAAAGCCTTTGCATTCCTTGATAAATGCATATCAGCAGACTTGTAAACCAAAACCATTCTGTTCTAAAAATGATTGAGTTTTATAGACGTTTTGGTCATTTATATTACCTAATTTTAGCTCATCATCAGATGCGTTATACTAATTTTTCTGTTTGCTATGGTCTTCTACTTTCATTTAATTTCAATTTGTTGGTTCATGAGATATTTTGCTAACGCTACAGACAAGCTAACAATCACAAGCTAAGACCTTATCTTTCGCCTTTGTCAGTGTATGATAAGGACAGTTTTACAGAAGCAGTACTACGCTCCGTTTAGTAATATTTTAATGGTTGTTTTTGTTTGTTTGTTTGTTTGTTTGTTTGTTTGTTTGTTTGTTTGTTTGTTTGTTTGTTTTTATTTTCCATACTTAAAGTTGTCACATAGGGACCTCCTTCCTTGTCGCCTCCCAACAGGAAGCCACGGGGTCAGGCCGAGTTGAGTCCCACGTCAGGATTGTCCCCACGCTGACCTGAGCCTGACTGGCCTCCCAGCTAAAAGCCCCTGTGAAGGTAAGAGGAACTGAGGGTCCCCTCCCCTGGAAAAGAGGTTCCCACCCCTTGACAGCTCAGGGCCAGCCCCCCCCCCCTCCCCCCATATGAAAAGGGAAGCTCTTTGTAATCCGACGGGGATTACACCACCCAACAATGCACCTCTGAAAGAGTGACAAAAGCCCCGTATCAAACACAGCTGAGGGGGGAGCACGGCTATGATCTCCCACTACTACCAACACCGATTCCTCAGCCACCCTCTCATCTCCCCAAGAGGCTCTTCTCTCCTCCCCCACCTCCCTCCCTCCCCACCTTTAGCATTTGCTGTCCTCCTCCTGCCCTCTCATCTCCAGGATCTGGCCTTTTATCAGCACATTCCTTTTCATTTGCATTGCGGTGCGGGGAGGGACGTCAGGTCTCTCTGATCTGATAGCGCCAGGAGAGAGTCAGGAGAATCCTGAGGGCATGGTGTGTGTGTGTGTGTGTGTGTGTGTGTGTGTGTGTGTGTGTGTGTGTGTGTGTGTGTGTGTGTGTGTGTGTGTGTGTGTGTGTGTGTGTGTGTGTGTGTGTGTGTGTGTGTGTGTGTGCGCGCATCCTGTCCCGCAAACACACACATACAGAAAAAGCTGCATTCTCCAGATATAAGCAGAGACATTTCCACTGTCGAAAGAGCACAAATAATTCGCCAAAACCTGACTTTTCACTTCTGGCTTTGGTGGCGGGGCATAATCCTACATAAACACGTGTCGAAACGTTCACAAATGTCTCAAGTTGTTTCCTTAATTCAAACGTGTCACAGCGTTTTAACCCTTAATAACAAAAAGGTGTTTGCCCTGATTCTTAAGGATCTGCTGCAATTGTTTGTGTTGCCCGAGGAGATAAAAAGAGCCAGTTTACTTTTCGGATTTCCTCCGAATCATTGTATTCCCAACCCTCCCGTTGCTCAAACATATGTCAGCGCAGAGGAGGGACGGGGGCGGCGAAGTTTGAAAAAAAAAAAGTGATGATAGATAGAGGACATGGAGACACGCGGAGGAGCAAATCTGACTCTGGGAGTTACCTCAGCTCAGATCAATGTCAGCTCTGAAAGCACCGAATGGAAAATCATTCAAATCGTATTATGTTAGAATAGATGAGCCATTTAAAAATATTAATTCAGCATTATTCCAGGTGTCTGTTAGGAGGAGTTACTGTGGTGACGGAGGGATTACACGCCTCTATTACATGTGATGTATGAAAGTGTGAGCGGGATCTATTTTTCAGTGTCTCTGAGGGAAGAAACACTCGATGAACCAGAGAAATTACATTTTCTGTGAAAAAGCAACGTGAATGCTGAGCACTGCCGAACAAGCTGAAACTGAGATTTTAATGTTAGAAGAAGCAAAAAAAAACTAAATGAAATCTGAAAATAGCAGAATAATAGCTTAAAGATAAAAGGAGCAAAACTTGAGCTAAAAGCAGCAAAAGGCTAAAGACTAACTAAAGGTAGCGACATGCTACCTAAAAGCTTCAAAAGGTTAGCTAAAATTTAAAATGAACAAAAGACTATAAAAGCTAAAGTAGCAAAATTAATACTAAATAAAAAGTGAAGGCTAATATAAAAAGATAGCTAAAAGTAGTGTAGGGGTCACCTCGAGTGAAGAAACAAGATTTATTGCCTCGAAGCAGGCCTCGGACAGGCCTGACGAGAGGACAGGAACTCTGTCACAAACTGAACTCTATTTAGGCCATGACAGGTCATTCTAACCGTGGAAGAGAACCCCTCAGTTCTCTTAATCAGATAATGGACAGAACAGTCTCTTCTGTTCGTGATTCATTTGTTGTTTAACTAAGAATGTTTATGCATTTGTTAAATCATGATAACCCCTACAGTAGCAAAATGCTACCTAAAAGCATCAGAGGGTTAGCTAAAATTTAAAAGTAACAAAAGAATAGATAAAGGTATGGAAATGCAAGCTAAAAGCTATAGTAGCAAAATGATAGCTGTAAGCTAAAATAATGAAAGGCTAGTATAAAAGGCTAGCTAAAAGTGGCAAAATGCTATTTAAAAGCAGAAAAACATTAGTAAAGAATTAAAAGTAACAAAAAGCAAGCTGATTATAGTAAAAAGGTAGCTCAAACCTAATAGCAAACTAATGACTGTAAGCTAAAGGAAAAAAACACTTTAAACTCAAAAGGTTAGCTAAATGCTAAAAGTAACTAAAGGCTCACCAAAATTAAAGTTGCAAAAAACACCAAAGGGGTAGTTAAAAATAAGAAGTTTTTAAAAGTATCAAAAACCTAGTTAGAATATAAAAGAAAGGCTAGCTAAAGCTACAGTAGCTAATTGATAGATATAAGCTAAAAGAAGCAAAGGGCAAGCTAAAACCTAAAATCTCATAACAAAAGCTAAAAGTAGCAAAATGGTAGCTAAAATCCAAAAGTAACATAAAAAACAAACTGAACGTTCCAAACAGAACATTGTTTTTTTAAAGAGCTGAAGAAATCTTAGTGTATTTTATGGTTTAAAAAAATTGTACATTAATTTAAATATTTTGAAAAGTGTAAAAGTTACAAACAAAAAACAAAAGTTGTAGCACCCATGTCGTGAATGAGCTGAACGTTTTCATGGCTAAAATAGCACAAAGTGTGCAGAAGTAGTTGAACTTGCAAAGAACATACGGAAAAATGAAAAGCAGGAAAACGAATCAGCTTTCACACGAGGGAACGACTGGTTTCTGAAACAATCAGGGAGGAGGAGGAGGAGGAGGAGGAGAGAAAGAAGCAAAGCACTATTGGTATTGAGAAACTGGGAAAATGCCAGAAGAATGTGTCTGCGTTTTTCTTGTGATCCTGCAGCCTCTCCCCCTGTCCAGTTAATTGGAATACAAAGCAGAGCAGGGTCGATGGGATGAAGAGGAGGAGGAGGAGGAGGAGGAGGTGCAGAGCCGCTGTCTGTCTCCAGCAACCTTCACCGCTCGCTGGAAATTGACTGGGGAACCAGCAAGCGAGACCGACACACTGTCACTGGTAAAATGAACTGTCACCTTGCATTTCTCAGCCTCCTGGCAGCGTCGAATTGGCCGCTTTGAACCATGTGACGTGACACTGATTGAGTTCTGGTCCAAACCCCACCCCCACCCCCTCCTGGGCTCTGATGGAAAGGAGCTGGTTTAATTTCAAGTCTGCAGCCTCGACATGCAAAGTGTCCCAGATCCTCACAGCAAACCTTTCAGGGGAGCGCTGCTCCTCCTCACCACCCCTCATTATTTGATTGTGCTGCTTCGTTACGCACAGCTAGAGTCTTGTTTTTATGGTTTTGGAGTCATAGCCATCTGACAGGCAACACAGAGGAGGAAAACTATTAGAGGTAGCCATTTGGATCCTGGAGGCAATCCCAGAGAGTATTAAGACGTTAACCCTGGCCAAGTCACTTGTCTCTCTCAGTTACTATGCTGATGGAGTGGGGAAAGGATCCAGTCGCAAGGGAGGGATCCAGGAGACAGGAGCTTCGGGTCAGCTGCTGCTTCCAGATCCAATCGAGCCTGACTCTGAGGGGGGATGGTTGTCAAGAGCCTCCCAGGCTGGGCTGTAAGGAGGCTCGGTGCCAAAACAAAAGAAGAAAGTGTGCAGTTTATACCTTAACAATATCGTTACACAAATTATAACAAATAAATGGGAAAGATATAAATATATTTAAAATTAATACAAATCCAAAAGGTGACTTTTATCTCCTTCATGATGTCAAATTAATGAAATTTATTTAAAATGTGTGTTTGCACTATGAGTAATAATATATGTTATTTAAATTTGGCATTCAAAATCCACTATTTTTATTAGTAAGAACAGAGGGGAGCTCCTTCTTCCACAATGAACAGATTTCATTCAGAAAACAAAAGCTTTTTATCGTTTCTGATGTCCAAAGGTGACGTCTTCAGGTGTGTCTTCGTCCAACCAGCAGCATCAAACCAAATATATCCACTGTTATACTTTCTAAATTATTATTCTTGATAAACAAAAAAAAAAAAAAACCTAGAAATACATTCAGGTATTTTCACTTCCTTCAAAAACATAAAAAAAATTGTTTCAGAATAATATATATTCTGTGATCCTTTTAGCTAATGAAAGACTAGTTTTAAATTTTTTATTATAGCTTTGCTAATTAGCGTTTTAACAACAACTTTGTTATTTTTAGCATTTAGCTACTGTTTTGTTCATTTTAGTTTTGAGCTAGTTTTGCAACATTAAGCTTTTTGCTGTGATTTAGCTGATTTTAACATTTTGTATTGTTCATTTTAGCTCATAGCAAAAAAAAACAATGCTTGTTTATAGCTTTTAACTATAGATTTGTTCATTTTTGCTTTAAGCCACAGCTTAATTTTTGACTAGTGCCAATGTAAGCTTTTAGCTTGTTTTTTGTTTGTTTGTTTGTTTGTTTGTTTGTTTTGGCTTTTAGCTACTGTTTTGTTCTAAACTGCTGTTTTAGTAATATAAACTTCACTAGTTATGAATTGTTATTATGAGTTTTCAGCCACTGTTCTGCTCATTTTAGCTTTTCTCAATGGTTTTACTAATTAAACCTTCAGCTACAGTTTTGGTATTTTTAGCATTTTGCTACTGTTTTGCTGATTTAAGCTTTTACTGTTGGCTTTTCTTATAGGTGTTTAGCTACAGCTTTGTTGATGTAGCTTATAGCAATATTTTTGGTAATTTGAGTTTTTAGCTGCTGTTTGATTTTAGCTTCTGTTCTGCTTGCTGTTTTATTAAGAACTAAGCATTAACATTGTATTTTAGCAGAAAAATACAATTTCTTCAGTATTATTTACGCTTTTCTCCACACAATCAGATTTTTTTGGTTTTAATACCTTGAAATCGAGCTGAAACTCTCAACAAAAAAACGGCGCCTTCGATACCTGCCAATAAAAGTTTTCTTCTCCGTGGCGTCTCTTCGATGGCCAGCCCTCCTGCGATGCCCTGAATACCGCATCCAGTTTGCTTTGAAGCCCGCGGGGACCCCGCAGAGTGACGAGCGACAGGAACCGGTGGAAAACCGAGGAAGTGAGCCCGGCAATTGAAACCTGCAACAACTAGCAGCAGCATGGGGTAGAAAGTGCACCGGGCCGGCCTCAAACAGAGCACAGAGGGAGAGGGCACCAATCAAAGAAAGATGGGCAAAAACTTCCCAAAAAAAGGCCTTGAAGGAGTGCATGTGTTCATCTTTCACATCAGTTTTAAACTGAGATCTTCTTATATTGACAAATGACAGAACCATGCATACATCATGGCCTTTAGAGACGACTCTCAGCTACTACCACACCAAATGTTAGTTCATCAGCTGTTTTGTGTCGGCTAAGCTCAGTTAGCTGCTTTAGCCACCTTGAAGTCCAAAAATGTACCCATTAAAGATCCACTGCTTAGTGAGAGTTTCATTATAATCTGACCAGGAGATGTTTTGCCAACAGAACAACAAAGATGTAGTTTATTATTATTGTTATTATTATTATTAGCTGTAACCCGTCCTCTCGTCTTTGCCCTACATTCTCCCACAGAAACATCTTTGCGCTGATGAGCCGAAGGTGAAAAAAAAACCCTCCTCGCCCTCTCCCCCAGCTGAACATCTGTCTCCTCGGTGTTGGCTTCACCGCCGACTCTGACGCCTCCAGATGGAGAGCCTGCTGGGAGCGCTGAGGGATTACCTCCAGAGTCGGCAGAGARCACTCGTTTTCTGCACCGCTCTCTTTCTGCTGCCGTCGAATCTGTTGCCTCGCGAGTCCACCAAAGAGCAGGCTTTGTTTTTATTTTATTTTTATTTTTTAAAGCACGTCAAACATCTGAGCTCTTCTTCTAAATCCACAGCAATAAACTGTGAATTCTTGTATTCATTCTTGTGAAAGAGCTCAACGATTTCTTTTCTTAATGACGCTTTAAAGAGATGAAAGTTCACACGGTTTGGTCAGAATGTTCCACAATCTCGTTAGCTTGAATATTAAAAGCAATACCTGCAAATATCTAAAGCGTAAAAAAAATAATAATAATAATAAAATGGGAGTTTTTGCTCCACGACTTTACTCTGGTTGTCTTGACAGATTGTCTCTGCATTCATTTGTGGCTGAACTCTGCGTGAACCTGCAGCTCCAAGGCAGGAAGGAGGGCATCAACAGGCTAGTGCTGTTAGGGCCGAAACTGTGTGTTTGTGTGTGTGTATGTGTGTAAACTCNCCCCCCCCCCAGAGCAAATATTGAAACCACTCGCCCTACTTCGTCACAAGAAACCAGGTGATCCAGTCCTGGAAGCTTTTAACTAAAGGGTAATGGCTGTTTTTGTTTTGTTTGTTTCTCTGGAAACTATAAAATCAAACACAAAATGTTATTCTGGTTATATGGTTCTGTTTAAAAGCATCTACTCCAGTAGCTTTCCAGATATATTTAATATTTCTGAAATGCAGGTACGCACTCAATATCAACAAAGCACTTTTATCTGCATGTTCCTCAAGAAATCTGAGAATTATGCATCAAAATAGTCTTGATCCCAAACAGCTTTTTTGTTTTTAGCTTTGGTCTTTTAGTTAAACACGTGGTATTTAGCATCAAATTTTGCTTCAATTTAATGGCATTAACCATCAATATAAGAGAAAATGTGATGATTTTGTCTGATTATTTTTCTTCTTTCATAGCTTTAAAACCTGGTTTTATTTTCTTCTTTCTATCAAGAAGAAATCGGTGACAAGCGAGTAGAATTTGGGTAACAAATCAAGGCTGCCTGGCTTCCTGCAGTTTGTTGTCATGTTTAGAGCCCCTGGAGGTATTCCGAGGTGAAAAGGTCACCCAGAACCACCCTGTTTGTTGTGAAAGATTCCTCTTGTCACATTATGCAAGTCAGACTTTACTTTATTTATGGAGTTTTTGCATCAGACTTTAACTGAGCTATATTTATGGAGTTTTTAAAACCACATAAAATTTGATTTTTCACATTTATGGGAGGTGATTTGTCTGCAGGTGTTCACAACAAATGCAACACTTTTTTTTTCATTTTATAGGCTTTATTCAAGTCAGTCATGTTGGAAAATACCCTGTAAATAAATAGTGCAAACAGTGTTTAAACAAAACAACGCAAGCTCCTGATAAAAAGAGAGGAACATTTTGGTTCAGACATGAAGATACCCTGTAAAGTTCACAAATCCGATAAGTAAATTTCTATTTTGGTGCAATTGATTCCGGCCTCCACAGTCCCGTCATTGTTCACAGTTTTTCCCCCTTTGTCTTTGGGGAGGCGTCGGAACCGGAGGGTTTCCGCTCCGCCGGGACGCAGCCGAGCTTCTCGCGCTTCTTCTGCTTCATCCGCCGGTTCTGGAACCAGATCTTCACCTGCGTCTCGTTGAGCTCCAGGCTGGCCGCCACCTCCACGCGCCGGGCCCGCGTCAGGTACTTGTTGTAGTGGAACTCCTTCTCCAGCTCGGTCAGCTGCTTGGTGGTGAAGTTGGTCCGGATGGCGCTGTGCTGACCCGGAACCCCGAACTCCGACAGGAGCGCTGCACGTGAGGAGAGATGGATGGAAAACATGGAGCTGATGCATGACGTGTGTATGAATGTCAGAATAAATGGATTAATAATGTTTGAGAATTAATCATGAAGCTTTGTTGTGTTGTTACGGTTTGGACACACTGCCACAAACCTGTTTTTGGAGGATTCCTTTTTACTTTCATCCAGTCAAAAGTTTTGGAAGTTTCCTCCACGGGCTCCTTCTCCCTGCACTGGGGCCTCGTGTAGACCGAATACTCCTGCTGTCTCTGCTCCTCGAACTGCACATACTGACCCGCAGCTGCGCCTCCGGGCCCGCAGCTGTCCCCGTAGGGGGCCATGTTTGTTCCGAGCGGTGAGACCTGAAGGAAGCTCCGGTCCTGGTCTGGAGCGAGGCCGTACTCCAGAGGAGATCCATACGTGGGATTCCCGGGTGCCGAGAACTGCAGGTCCAGATTGACATGGGTCTGCTGGTGCAGAGGGAGGTTCTGGTGTGGCGCAGAAGCCACAAAGCGGCCATCCGGTGCGTAACTATCACTTGTTGCGCAAGAGCCGGACGCGTATCTGTGGTTCAAAGCGCTGCCGCTGAACAGGTTCGCTCCCCGGCTGCACACCGGGTAGTCTAAGTAGGAGTTCATCCCGAACCTGGGCCCGTTGTCCGCTCAGAACTCAGCCCGAGCAGTCATTAATGGCTGCTCCCCTTTTGGCCTGACCTACAGGGAGTATGTCAAAGCTGTAAAAACTGCCTTCCACCCCTCATATCACCTTCCTGACRCGTCATGTGACCCGGGGGGAGCCAATGGCCAAAGAGCCGCAGCAGTCCGTCACGTCCATCAAACGGGTCCATTTACATGACAAACACTTGAATCAGAGCAGCTCATCCATCTGATAGGAACCCAAACATCAGGACACATCTGCACTCAGAACTCCTTCAAACTATCTAACAGTTACCAGCAATAAGAATATTAAATATAAATAAATGTTTGTTGGAGGATGTATGTCGCCCGCTGTCTGTTTTAGAAGTTTCAGAGGTCAAATAATGAGACATGATTAAGTTGTTTTGGTCAAAAATCGGTTTACTGGTCCATGAGATATTTTGCTAACAGACGCAGACAGTAAGAAGTTCGCATATTTTGCGCTTCGCTCAAAATCTTAATCAAGCGATTAATTTGTGGTTTTTGCACATTTTTTTCCCTCAGATGCTAACAGCGCATTAACTTCAAATATTTTAAGTCAAACTGGTGATTTGGCTGTTTTGTGACTGAAACGTTTGGTCAAACTGGGTTCAGACCCGCTCGTGTTGCAGAAACATGTCAGCGCAGAGACTCCGGTGATCCATCACAGCTCCTTTCTCAATCCCTGACAGCTTGTTTGGTTCATTTTGACTATAAAAGAACAAAAGACGATTTTAAAGCCCACTAAAAAAAAAAAGAAAACACACAGTTCGAAAATCTCCCAAACACTTGAAAGATCCTGCCTGTAATTAACGTAATGAGACTCATAATATGCTTTAACTGGGAATTTTTTTTTAAATAACGCAATTTCTAAACGTTTTGGCTCCTAAAGTAGACTTTAATGTGGAGCTCGTGCATGACKGGATTAAAATTCAACTCACTTCTTTTGTTTCTTAAATAATTAACATTTAAATTTGAGCTAATTTACTCTAAATCGTAGTGTTTTTTTATAAATAAAGAGAACAAACCCGTGCGTAAAATTAAACCCAAAACGCGCAGGAAGTGTAAACATCMAAATAAATAAAAGCTGTTAAATATTGCATGCAGCTGCTACAGATGAGTGAGTTTTGGGGCCTGGAGGATTCGGTCCTGACAGAAGTATGAGCCGCTCAGATCAGCTGTGTGCGGCTCGAATTGCGCATCAAACTGCGGCTCGTGCGTAAAGCTCGCAGCCGGATATTTGGAGCACTCTGCCGGGTAGGCCTGTTGGTAATCAGCGCCCAGATGGACGTAACCCAGGCTGGTGAGGGTGGGGCTGCCCGCGGCGGAGGGGGAGGAGGGCGGGGAGGAGGAGGAAGAGGAGGCGGTGTTGGGGCCCCGCTGCAGCCTCTGGTCCTTCTTCTGCTTCATCCTCCGGTTCTGGAACCAGATCTTGATCTGCCTCTCGTTCAGGTTCAGCAGGCCCGCCATCTCCACGCGCCGCGGCCTGCACAGGTAGCGGCTGAAGTGGAACTCCTTCTCCAGTTCCACCAGTTGCGCGCTCGTGTACGCGGTGCGCGTGCGCTTGCCATAGGCCGCCGGGGTCGAGCTCGARCACATCTGGGCGCAGTCTGCGGAGAAAGACAGCGTCAAACGCGCAAAGACGTTGCACTGTAAAATCAACCTTCTCAGCTAATCTGTGAATAAATCAGGTTAATTTTAAACATTTCATACATACAACACATTTTCATAAACAGTTTTATTTTGGTAAATCAGAATCAATTCTTATTAATAATTTAAGCTTCTCAGAATTTGTCGAATTTTGTTTTTTTGCATCATTTTTGTCAAATCAGAAAGTTTCTGCTTTGTTACATTAAAACAGTCTTTTATAGACAGTTATTAGACCAAAGAGACCATGTTGGTTAAATGTTGATGATTAATTTACTTTTAGTCAGTTATGTTTAGTTTTCAGTTTGAACTGAAAATAAATAGTTAAACATATGGTAATTTATGTAAATTACATCTGAGCTAAAGTACAGTTATAATTATCTGCATAAATAAAATTTAATAGTGTTCAAAACCATTTTTACAGTGTAGCTCTTTTTCCTTACAGCTGTTCTTTTTAACAAAAAACAAAAGGAGAAAATCTTGACAAATCCTGACTCTTAACTCAAGTCAACATTCATTAAATTAAGAAATGTTAACAATTCTGTGGTGTTTACCTCATAAAATAATAATAGAATAGTTTTAACACTTGCATCTCCCCATCATTGTRTGAAAACATTATTTTATAACATTTATTATATGTTATTTAACAGGACTTCAAGAAAGGAAGGAAGTAAACCTTCCCTTCAAAATAAACATTAAATAAATAATAAAATTTGGCTCAGAGGCATAAAAAATAAAAACAAAAATAAAATAGAAAACTATTCTGAGTAAATTAAAGATGTTCAGATTTGGGTTGTTTTAGTTTATCTTTAGCCTGCATTTTGATGCTTTTAAACAATATTTTGTTTCTAATTTTCTTGTACGTTAAAAAGGTGGAAGCCAAACTTGTGATTTTAAATGATATCATTCAGTTGGTTTTCTGCTTTGTTTTGATTTAAACATAATTTGCTCATTTTGGATTTATTGTTATTTTCCCCAAAACACATTTAAACTTAAAAGTTAGATCTTTGCAGCTTAAGCTGACTTTTTTTCAAATCTCAGAAGAAAATAATTTAGGGTTTGAGTTATTAGGATGAGAAAATGATGACTTAACCCTTTATTTTCTGCTCCTACCTGCTGTTCTCGGCTCTGAGCTCTGATTGGAGAGTCTGGACTCTTTCATCCAGGGGAAAATCTTTTTTGTGAACTTTTGTGGTTTGGACCTCTGCGGGAACCCAAACATGTCCTCCGAGGCACCCAGAGCCGGGCTGAAGAGGTCCCGGTGGTTCTGATGGTGGCTTCTCTGCATTTCCCTGAAACGCAGCACCGGGCACCCCCACTTTGACCTTCTGGCAGCCAAATGTCACGTGGCGGGTTTCCAGAGAGCCGAAGGCGTGGAGCCTGAGAGGATCCAGGAGAGAAAAGGAGAGAGAATCAGGGAGGAGACGGAATGATCCATCTTCTCAACTCAATGCTGAGCTGACATGAATAGCAAGCAGGCTGGAGAGAGGAAAACAAAACACAAAAAACCTGCAGAGAGTCAGTTTGAACATTTCTTTATCTGCTTGTTTTTAATTTTTGCTTTGATTTCAAACTGATGCCTGGATAAAATATGTAACATATTTTTAATATTTTAGATATAAACAAACAAAAAAGTAGAAAAATTAGATAATTTGGGTTTTTTCTTAGATTTTTTGAGTAAAGTGAGTTTTTATTAAGTGCTTACTGATTT